AGAAGAAGAGGAAAGATCCCTCCAAGAACCACAAAGGAAAGTCCCATGATGGATCTTCTTCAAATGGATCCAAAGGTAAAGCCGGTTCTGCCACTCCCTCATCCGATCCAAAAGAAGCAACGTGCTTCTACTGTCACGACAAGGGGCATTGGAAAGGAAGGTACCCGAAATACTTGCAGGACATCAAGGATGGGAAGATAAATCCCACCTTCACAGGTATTTATACTATTAAATCTAATAAATCATCACACGCTAGTTCTTGGGTCCTTGATACAGGGTGTGGTTTTCACATTTGTTCTGATTTGTAGGGGCTAAGAAGAAGTAGGGATGTAGAGCATGAGAAGATGAACATGATAATGGATAATAGGAAATTGTCACCTATCACCAAGATCAGAATTTACTCTATAGTGCTTAGTAGTGGGTTAGGATTAGAATTGAATGACTGTTACTATTCATCAGAGATGAAGAGGAATATTATTTCTTTTCATGGTTTGTACAGACAAGGTTTTATATTTTCATTTAACAATGAAATTGGTTCTATTAATGCTTTCCATAATGGTACCTTTTATTTTCAAGCATTACCTTGTAATGGTGTATATGAAATTGTGATGGTTGTAGATAACTTAGGAAATAATGTGTTGCATATCGATTCGTCTAATGGTTTAGACAAGGCATGCTTATGGCATTGCCAGCTTGGACATGTCAAAAAGAAACACATAGGCCAACTCCAAATGGATGGAGTCTTGGAGTCATTTGACCTAAACTTAAATGACACGTGCGAATCTTGTTTGCTTGAAAAGATGACTAAATCACTTTTCACTTGTACTTGTGATAGAGGCAAGGGATTGTTGGATCTCATACACATAGATGTGTGTGGGCCCTTTAGATCCACCACAAGGGATGCTAACCGCTTCTATGTGACTTTTAATGACAGTTATAGCATATATGGATATATTTACTTAATCAAGCACAAATTGGAAACCTTTGAAAAGTTCAAAGAGTTTATGCAAGAAGTGGAGAATCAATTGGGCAGGAGGATAAAGATGATGAGATCTGATAGGGTGGTGAGTATCTTAGTAACGAGTTCCATGACTATCTTAAGGAATGTGAAATTGTTTCACAATTGGCACAGCCTAGAACACCGCAGCTCAATAGTATGGCTGAGAGGCACAATCGAACCTTGTTGGACATGGTTCGTTCCATGGTGAGTCGAGCTTCATTACCTATCTCATTCTGGGGGTATGCCTTAGAGACTGCCGCCCACATCCTTAATCTAGTCCCAACTAAGAAGGTTGCCAAAACACCTCATGAGATGTGGACAGGGAAGGTTCCCTCATTAGTACCTATCAAGCTTTGGGGTTGTGAAGCTTTCGTAAGACGCGAGATTCACGAAAAGCTTGAACCTTGAAGTGAGCGGTGTATTTTCATCGGCTACCCACATAAATCTTTTGGATATCTTTTCTATAGGCCTAGTGACAACATGGTTCTCGTAGAAAGGAGAGGGGTTTTCCAGAAAAGAGAACTCATATGCTAATAGGAAAGTGGGAGGAAAATTGATCTTGAAGAGCTTTAAGAGTCAAGCGATGAAGGAACCTCTAACACTAGCGCTCAACTTGAGGAAGAGATTCCTGTTGAACCGATTGACAAGTCATTACCTCTAAGACGTTCCTCTCGAGTTAGGATGGCACACAGTTTTATGGTTTTCATATTACTACGGAAGGTGATACGTTTATCAATGATAGTACACTAGTAAATTTGGATGAGCCTACTAACTACGAGGAAGCCATTACAGGCCCCGAGTCTGCAAAATGGAAATAGGCAATGGACAATGAGATCCGGTCTATGTATAACAATTAAGTTTGGAACTTGGTTGATAATGTACCATGTCGAAAGACTGTTGGGTGAAAATGGATCTTCAAGAAGAAGACTGACATGGATGGTAAGGTGCATACATTCAAGGCACGGATGGTTGCAAAGGGATTTACTCAAACCCCAGGGGTTGACTATTATGAGACCTTCTCACTAGTAGCCAATATGAAGTCTATTAGGGTTATGATGGAAATTGCTGCGTTTCATGATTATGAAATTTGGCAGATAGATGTCAACACAACTTTACTTAATGGGAAGCTGGTTGAAGATGTTTACATATGTCAGCCAGAAGGTTTTGTGGATGCTAAATACCACAATAGAGTATGCAAGCTTGAGAAATCCATTTATAGATTAAAGCAAGCGTCTCGCAGATGCAATATTTGCTTCGATGAGAAAGTCAAAGAGTTTGTGTTCTCTAGATGTGAGGATGAGTCATGTGTGTATGTCAAGGATTGTAGGAGTATAGTTAGCTTTCTAGTTTTGTATGTTGATGACATACTACTCATAGGAAATGACATCCCAACCTTGCAGGAGCTTATATCCTGGCTTGGGAAGTGTTTCACTATGAAGGATCTAAGGGAAGCTGCTTATATTCTGGGGATAAGGATTTTGAGAAATATAAGTAAAATAATAATTGGATTTACTCAGAGTAATTACCTGGACAAGGTGCTTAAACGTTTTAGAATGGAGAATTCCAAAAAAGGGGAACTGACAATCTAGAGTAATACCAAGCTGAGTAAGACTCATAGTCCAAGTATCGATTTAGAGATAGCAGAAATGAGTCGAGTTCCATATGCTTCCGCTGTTGGCTTGATCATGTACGCTATGACATGTACTTGCCCTGATGTGGCTTTTGCATTGAGCATGGTTAACCGATATCAAGGGAACCCGGGTAGAGCTCATTGGACAGCAGTGAAGAACATCCTTAATTACCTACGAAGAACTATGGATTGGGTCCTTATACTTGGTGGGAGTGATGACTTAAGAGTGACAGGGTGTAGTGACGCCAGCTTTCAGACTGACAGAGATAACTTCCGCTCTCAGTCGGGTTGGGTGTTTACCCTAAATGGAGGAGCAGTTACTTGGAAACGTTCCTAGAAGGAGACTGCGATTATTCAACGTGTGAATCAGAGTACATAGCAGCAAGCAAAGCATCGAAAGAGGCAATATGGTTAAAGAACTTCATTGGAGACCTTGGAGTTGTACCAGCCATAAAGGAGCCCATGGAGATTTTATGTGATCATGAAGGAGCGGTTGCCTTAACTAAGGAACCAAGGGATCATGGCAGATCCAAACATATCGACGGGAAATACCATTTCATCAGACATTGAGTAGAAGAAGGACTCATCGTGGTAAAGAGAGTATCGTCAGATGAGATTCCTACAGATCCCCACACAAAGGGTCTGAGTAGGATCAAGCACATTCAACATGCAAGGAGCATTGGTCTGAAGGATGATATTACTTTTAGTGATTAGATAGATATTTAGAAACTTGTAATAGATAAACGTAATTGACATTTGATGATGAAGTAATGGAGATTTATTTATGAGTAAAGTTTACTATCTTGTGTCGATTGTTTACTATCGTTTCACTTTTGCATGTTTTACTTCCAAAATAATTAGATTGTTCAAATTATCCACAGTCGATCATACTTTGGGAGTAAGTTATGAGGTTAGATTGTCATGAATTGGTTTGTAAATTGTCTAAGTGTTTAGACATACCAAAGGTTTGCTGCAATGTTCATGAGTACTCTTGAAATAAGATTTAAGTATTGGATTAAACCCACACTCATGTGAATCACTTCATGTAATTTATCACGAGTGGTTGTGGGATGATAATATCATATAATCTTTAAACCCAAATGTATGATTTATTGTTTACAAGCTGATTGTGCATTGATAATGCGTAAACGCATTAGTAATTTGATGTTATAAAATGTGTTGTTGTGTACGATTTGATGAGTAAATAACACAAGCATATAACTCAAAGTTTATATGTCCCTTTTATCCTAAGAGGGTGCAAGCGATATCTTAGCCCGTTGTGATGATTTTGTGTTGACTTATGTGTCGGGCCCGGTTAGGACTGAACTGATGTGTTCAATTAAGTTCTATGTGAAACAAATCAGAAGTTAGGCAACAAACTATTGGAAATTAAGAATGATTATGTTTCATGTCTTTGTCCGTATGATATCTTTTAGAACAGAGGATTATATGACCTCTTATCTAAAGGACGCATCATTGACTAGGTCAGAGTTCGACAGCCGCTTTTGAGAGCTACGATTGCTAATCAGATTCTGAAATTGCATTGGAAATTATAGTTATTAGACTTATCCAAGTAGGAGACTATTGGATTAGGTTTCTAAGTCCATAACTATAATTAGGATGTACTTGATCTGATAGTAGCATGGTCCTTTTGGGTTGCCTTCACCATAGCAACTCGATAGGATGAATTATGGAGAAAGAGGTTGATAAATGATTTATTAATATATTGTATGAATAATATATTAATTGAGAAATCATATTATTTAATTAGTATTGATCAAATATTAATTTGGAATTAATTTTGTAATCAAAAGAGACTGATAAAAAGTAAGGGGACTGATATCACAAATCATTGATAGTTGCAAGTTGGGCTGATGGACTCCTAAAGGAAGGAGTGGGAGAAATCTATGGAAGCCCATAGAGATTTCGTCCAAGTGTATTTCTAGAAGGATTCCATGCATTTCTTAGGGCTTAAGCAGAGAATGAGGGGTTCCATCTAAAACCCTAGCAGCTCAACTATATAAGGAACCCTTGGCTTAAGGTTTTCGCCCCTATGCATTCATAGAGAACCCTAGCTAAAATCATGAAGCCTCCATCACCTCTCTCTTTTTCATCCTTTGCTAAGTGGTGTTTGTGACTCCATTAGAGGTGCACCACTTGAGGCACTAAGCTCTTGATGGTCAAGATCAAGCTACTAGAAAGAAATGTATTCTTCTAAACCCTAATATGATTAGATTTCGTTTTTTCTTGTAAGCTAGATTAGGGTTTTGCACTGGAAAATTAATTTGCATGTATAAATCGAGAAAAACCTAGATCCAAAGCAATTAGGGTTGCATGTGCACACATGAATATTGTAATGCTGAAAACCCATCAAATCTTCCCCTTCAACAAAGATTGAGGAACTTTTGAGGTCTTGTTAATAGCTATTGCCAGCTCAATATCAGTGATTGCAAGGAAATCATAATAGTTATCAATGAACACCTTGATATGAGCAACGCCAATAAGAAAATCATCCTGATTTTTCTCTGGAAGCTTCATAACATCCACATTACTTAAAACCCTTGTCATATTGACCAAGTCATTTAAGCTCATCAATGGGAAATCAGCAATCGAAAAATCACATACCAATTATTCGCTCTAACAACCACATAGCAAAAATTTTGCCTTCGAACAAGTTCTCACTTGAAATAGTCATCTTTTTTACAATATTCACAAATAACCATACTTCCTCCTTATTTTTCCCTAAGACTGCTTTAAATTGCATCTTCAGTCTTTTGTATTCTTCTTTGTCATTGAAATTTTCAACTAACTTGAATTGAGAAGACATGAACATCATATGATTTATTAGGAAATCAAGTTGATTGAAATCAGAGTTCTCAACCTTATAAATCTTCTTAGGTACTTTGTGAAAATATTCAAACTTACCAATCGAAATGATTTCTTCGATAGTTTCGTAACACCAATGCTTGTTGGGATCACCCTTATTTAATCCTATTGGACCATTCTACCTTCACCTCAATATGTTGTTGATTTGCCTTTGCCTCTCGATAACCAAGGCTTGTTTCTTTTTCTTTTCTTCTTCTGAAAGAGTCACTATAACACCTTTTCCTTTGTCCCATTGATTGCCTTTCGAAGGAGGTGACATAGAACTCGAACCAGAACCTCTAGCACTTTTACTTATAAAGACCCCTTTCATAATTGGTCTTGTTGTGGTTGTTGTTGAGGTTATTGTTAATGAAACTGGAAGTGAGGTAGGTATCTAAGTTGACATCAGCTTTCCAACAACAACTCCTTTTTCTGAATCTTTCAATGTCCCAACACCACATCCTTTATCTCCCGTTTTTGACACCTGCTTCGCAGGTGGAGCATTCGTTGGTAAGAGAAGAACCAACTCCAGGATGGGTGTGAGCTCAGTTTTTATATTCGTCTTAATCTTCAAAATCAATTGAGAAATTGATTCCTAAGACACGGTTGACTGAGTCAAAAGATCAAAATTTGAAATTGACTTCTTAATACTTGAAAACAATTCCTCTAATTTAGTAAATTCCTTAGAATCTTGCTCCGATTTCACATTAAGCTTTGTCGAGTAAGCTATACTGTATTCAACCAACTTCGTAATGACATCAATAACAACATCAACTTTTCCATGTAGGAAAGAGTATTTTTTTCTTTATATTCTCAACCTCTTTGGCCACCTCTGATTTAATTTCAGCCATCTTGAGATCCACAAACTCTTTCAAAGTCTTTACTTGCTCAACAAAAAGTTCATGATGCTCCTTAGCAACATCATGAAGCTTTTGAATATCGTACTCAAAACATTTAGCATGAAATTCCAACCTTTCAACTTGTTGCTTCTCAATACCTTCCACCAAACTTCAAAGATGATTCTCGTAAGAATTTAACAAGTACCCCATTTCGACCCCCTAAAAAAAATTTGACCCCCAGTATCTGCTTAGATCTGTGAAAATTTGACTCTAAGAGACTTGAGTCTAAGCGTTGCATCATACGATGAGAGGTCATTAGAACACGACCCATCGATTTGTTACAATAGATAAATGAAAGTATTTATCCTGAGAAGAATAAGGAGTCCACAATAAGGACTTATTTTGTAACTTGGAAGTTATGATTGAAAGTACATCTTAGTACGATAAGCAGATGCAAGATTGGGCATCGTCTGCGGTCAAGAAAGCCATAGAGTTAAATACTCTTTCGAGGAAAACATAGAAGTTATGGTTATTACCTAGGATGAAGAGATAACGTGTGGAATCATTATGCAAGCCCTATTTCGTTGATGATTCCGGGACGTAATCATCCTAAGGGGGAGATAATTGTAACGCCCGTAGATCCGGGCTAGTTAATTTAGAGACGATAGGCGTCAAAAATGACTTTTTTTATGGAAGATTATTTAGAAGGATTAATCTTAACCAAGTTGTAGTATATGTCACAAGGTTTCTGTGCATATAAAGAACGCCAAAATCGAAGTTATAACGAAGAAGTTATGACCTGTCGAAGTTTCGCGACAGAACCGGCACGACACAACGTGACGTAAATAGTGAATTTACGTTAGAGCGATATTTATCCAAAACAATCTAAATGAGAATTGAAGATCTCATCGATAGTAGTCCAACGATAAAAAGACAGATGAAAACAGAGTTCAGATGAAGGAGTTATGAGTTTATAACGGAGTTTTCTTGTCCCGGTCTACTAAAAATAATATATAAGTAATATAATTATAATATATTAAAAATAAATTCAAATTAGCTAATAGAGTCTAAATGAGAGTTGTAGAGCATAATATCACCTTCGCATCGATATAAAGAATGTCGTAAACGGAGTTCGTATGCGAAAGTTATGAATTTTTAAAGTTCGGGGCGCGAAACCCCAAAACTGTCAGAGACCACGACGTGGCAAGTCTCCTGACACCTCCGGGAGTCCCCCAGATGCAACTTGCGATGACGCATGCAGTGACGACCAAGCCCACGATGTGGCAAAAGGTTCCACGACGTGGAAAAGGCCAGTTTTGCCCTATAAATAGATTTGAAGGGCCAGCCGAGTTTGGTTGCTCATTCTCTCATCTCTCTCCCATATTACATCGATTTATGTGCAAAGAAGTACCCTCGAAGCCCCGGTATGAACCCGAGACCCAAATCAAGTCCCGAAGCCCGAAGATCCCGAGAAGAAAAGAGTTTCCGAGCTGAAGCTCTGCCCGCGAGAAACCCGGTGTGTGAAGTGATCCCGGTTTCACCGAAGAATACTACATCTACAAGCTGTAGTGCTATCCGATCATCTTCTGATCAAGTGAGTGTATAGTCACTTTTGTCTTACACATAGATATGAAGTATTTTATAAAATACGTGCTATGTGTATATATATAGTTGTTTATATGTGTGAGTGTGTGGTTACTTTCTTCTAACGTATAGATATAAAGTATTTGCTAGGAAATACGTGTTATGTGTTTATACATTGTTTGCTTATTTGAGATGAGTGTGGAATGGACGTTTTATATAGTTTTTAAATGAGTTAAACTGTATATGTATTTTATATCTGTGAATATGTTGGGTAGAACATGGGTAGATGAGATAGTTGGTATGTGATAAAATGAGGAGGGATGAAAAATGCACCAAATAGAGATGTCATAATACTAGTAGATGCGCTTAAGAATAATATTGGTAGATGCACCAAATAGAGATGTCATAATACTAGCAGATGCGCTTAAGATTAATATTGGTAGATGCACCAAATAGAGATGTCATAATACTAGCAGATGCGCTTAAGAATAATATTGGTAGATGTACCAAAAAGAGATGTCATAATACTAGCAGATGCGCTTAAGAATAATATTGGTAGACACACCAAATAGAGAATGTCATAATACTAGCAGATGCGCTTATAGGATAATCCTGACAGATGCGCTTATAGGATAAGGTCGACAGATGTGCCTAATAGTTATGTCGTAATCCTGGCAGAGACGCTTAAATGATAAAGTTGGTAGATGCGCCTTAAATAACAGTAGAATTTGTGTCTATTCCTTAAAGTCAAATTTTAGGAATGAATGAATAAAGGATAAGTGATTCTTAGGGTAAAACCTTAAGAAATAAAGAAGAAAATGGGGATGGGTAATTGGGTTGATTGTTTGATGATTAAATATAATAATTATATTATTGTGGGTTGAAAACCCTATATGCTCACCAGGCTCCCAAGCCTGACCCACTCAGTTTAATTGTATCACAGGTATCGATACGAAGCTGCTTTGCACTGAGAGATTAAAGGAGATGTAAATCACTAGAGTAAATGAATGTATGTTCTGTTTATGCTTTTGGTCTGTATTGAACATGACATCCCGAGATTTTGTTATATAATGAAAATACATTTCTTTAACGAAATACTTTGATAAACTCTTATCATATTTTGTTTTGGGAACAAATTCCACAACCGTTTTCTTTAAACGATTACTCTGATTTATAAAACAAAGCATAAACAAATCGGTCTTTTCTAGCCGAGAAATTGGGGATATCACAGAGAATTAAGTTTGTTGTTGAGGATCTTGAATTATTTACTTGACATAATCATGTTATCAGGAACATTATCCTCCTCTGGGTCGAACTGCAAGTCATCAAAAAAAAAAACCATGATGTCATCATCATTTGGTTCATCTTCTTGAACTATTCTCTCAGCTTCAGTGGATTGTGAGGAGAAGAGAGTAGTATTGGGTTCATGCATTATGGTAGAAAAAGTAGGTGATATGGTGGGAACTGGAAGTGAAGTTGGGATACGTGAGGATAATGGTGGTAACGAAGTTGATGTGTCAATGATTGATGTAGGGATATTGTAACATCCAAAATTTTCAACCAATTTAAACTTTTCAAAAACCCATATACGTTAATTTATTACAAAAGGTTTTCAATTCATTTATTATCAGAGTATTTCCCAGAACCACATCATAAACACATAAAACATGAGGAGCGGTACGATCATGCTTTCGCCTTGCCACGATCTCCTGAAGTACCTGAAACAATACATTGAAAACTGTAAGTCGGAAAGCTTAGTGAGTTACCCCCAAAATACCAACCACATATACCATACACATAACATATCATATCATAAACAGAACAACCATGCACTTCGGGTCTACTGTGTGACTGGTCCGCCGCACCGGGCCTTCAGTCCACCTGGTCCACCCTCCGAGTCTAGCCATATACATCGAGTCTGCAGTGTGATTGGTCCACCCGCACCGGGCCTTCAACCCACCTGGAACACTCTCTGAGTCTACAATATGATTGGTCCTCCCGCACCGAGCCTTCAGTCGGCCTGGTCCACTCTCCAAGCCTCGGTACGTCTGGTCCGCCCTTATGGGGCCTACAGCCTATCCAAACCGCTCGCTGGGCCTTCAGGATATCCGTTTCGCCCTGGGTATGTTGGCGTACAGCACAAAGCAGGACCCGCCTCAACCCAACCCCAGTCAACCATGTGCACATAAACATATAATCATATAGCAATTCCTCACTAATCAACCGATCTAGCAGATCACATATATAACACACTCTAACCAGGATATCGACCTAACCGGTCGCTAACATAACATCATCCTATATACCAGGATTCCGACCTTAACCATGTCTCTAACATATACCATCCTAACTACTAGGATGCAAACATATAACAAAGCAATAACATAACAACTACCCGGATTTCCATCCGATAAAGGGCCGGCCTTGGTGCCTTAGACCCTATCGATATAGTGAGGATAACTCACCTCGCAACTACTAACTGAAGAGATAAGATCACGCTGCTCCAACTTCCGACACGAACTCCACCACTGATCAATACCAAAAGACTGAACTCAATAAATACCAATAATTACCAAAGTACCCTTGGAAGTCCACTGGTCAAAGTCAAAGTCCTCAGTCAAAGTCAACCTTCCTGTGTCGCCCCGTCGACTTGCCGAGTCCCACAATTCTGAGTCCCTTCTCGCTCAACTCACCAAGTCATCCCTCGACTCACCGATTCACCGTTCAACCAGAAAAAGGTTAGGACTCCACGACTAGACTCGCCGGGTCCAAGAACAGACTCGCCGAGTCCAAGGTAATATTCAGCAGACTCGCCGAGTTGTTCTTCCAACTCGTCGAGTCCATACCAACCTTTATCCAACTCGCCAAGTTCACCCATGGAACTCGCCGAGTCTCTTCAGTTCTCATTCCATACAGAGGCTTTCCAAGCCATGCAGGGGCTCAAATCCCTAGATCTACCCTTCTACAAGCCATTCCTCACGTAAAGTGGCAAACTTTACGTGAACTCCGGGAGCTATGAGCCCAAAACGCTCTAGGGCTAGACTTTTAGGAAAAAGGTCTTCACTAACAACTCAAGGACTGAAGCTTTATGACATTATATGCCATCATGAGTCTAGATCTGAAGTAGCAACCCCATATCCAACTCCAAATCCGAGATAGGTCTCAAAACAATTTGAGGAACTCCCAAAACAACCACCAAGGATGAACCACAAGGGAAATAGCTTAAGGTAAGAGCTCCTTACCTCAGAGATGTGCATAATTCTGATATAGATCCCAGATCTTTACAATCCTCTTGATGCTAACTCCCAATTCTCAAGCTCCTTTCACAATTTCCTCTTCTAAGTCCCAATCTTTCCAACAATGAAGCCTCACACAAAATTAGGGTTTTCTGGAACTAAAAGGGAAGGTAAAGAGGCTGAGGGTGGCTATAATGTGCTTTATATATGGCACAAACCCCGGATTAGGGTTTTTCTCCCTTCAGCACCAACTCGCCGAGTCCAGCTGTCGACTCGTTGAGTTGGTCACTTAACACGCGACCAAAATCGCGACTCAACTCGCCGAGTCTATCCATGGACTCGCCAAGTCGATCCTCCTTAATTACACCAAGCATCTTGAACTTGCACTTCTGAACTCGGGGTGTTACAGATATGTGAGGATAATAGTGGATGAAAGTATGATTGATGTAGGAATAATAGATGTTGCTAGAGTTAAAACAACTAAAGGTTCGTTGTTCAAAACCCCCTTAACCCATATTGACATTTTGTTTGTATCAGATACGTTCATAGTGATGTATGAAGTTCGAAACTCCTCCGTATAGGACTCGGTTTAGATCTTTCAAGCCACCAATTACTTAAAATATTACGGTATCCCGTCGACACAACATTTATGATTTTCCATCTTCTGTTTCACCGAAAAAGCTTTAAGTTTGTACAAACATTTGGCCAACAACCAACTACTTGGAAACTAGACATAATTTTCGTGAGCATTGAAGTTACGTTTTGGCCCATCCACATATGTCAATCATCAAGCCACAATCTTCAAGCTTATGCAAACTTCTACTGTTTCTGCCTAGCATGCTGATTTTGAGAAGACTAGAAATTGCACTGTCGACCTCCCCCTAAAATCATTGCTCAGTTGTTTCTTATATGGCCTTTGAGATGGCATTCAAAATGAAATCACACTCCACAAACCCACCACCCTTCATCAAGCCTACGGCCCTGCGAAGCTCATCGAAGACAAGCTCCATGCCTAACTCCCATCATTTGATGGTTCTCACAAATCGCCGCCAATAAAACAACCCTTATTTCCCACCCTTTCACCATCTTCTTCACCATTTCCGATTAAGCGGTTAAGCCCCAAGGAAATGAAAAAACGACTGGCTGAAGGTTTATGCTACAATTGTCCCGCGAAGTATCAACCGTGTCACCAATACAACCCATCAAAATTTCTTCTTCTTTAATCGGATTCCGGCCCACCATGGCCTTCTGTTGCCCAACATGATCCTAACCTTGATGATAAGGTCATTTTTTAGGGGTAGAGTATTGATACGCTCACCTTTCATTTGTATGTAAATAATATTGTTTCCTTGATTATCCACGTGAATGAAAATAGATAGACCTGGTCTCAAACAAAATAATTCCAATTGTTATTTGATTTAGAATAGATTAGCTTGTTGTTTCTCTACTAGAGGTAGTAGCCATGATTTCCCTTATTTTCTTCTATTTATTTGTTTAGTGTTGCCTATAGGTTAGTTTAGATGCATATTTAATCTGGTGTAGCCGTATGTATGGAATTCTGAATGATATTAAAAAATTGCTCCAAGCCTGTGTCTTCTTCTTATTTTTAGGAGATTAGTCATCTCAATTGGCTTCTATCAGCAACAAAGATTTATAACACAACTCAAAGCATCTTTTCAATATTTTTTTCCGCTTTGGCTATCGATCATGGATGATAAGTTGTATTTAGATCTAATGGAGTACCTTCGTTACGCTTTGGAAACATCCATATGATTCCTTCTTTCGCTACAATAAACTAGAATTTAAATATAACAATGTTTCATAAAGTTTTAGTAATCCAGCGACAAACATTATTTGCGCTTTGTGAGGGATATGCATTATTTCTCTATGACAAACATTATTTGCGCTTTGCGAGGGATATGCATTATTTCTCTATGACAAACATTATTTGCGCTTTGCGAGGGATATGCATTATTTCTCTATGAGAGTGTCTCTCCTTTTATGCATAATGCATAAAAGGAAGGGCACTATCATAGAGAAATAGAAGATTTTGGTGTTACATGAGGACCAACAAGTGTTTCGAGGGTCGAAGAGTTGTGACGATAAAATTTGTCAATCCAAATTTTGTGTAGTTTAAGAACATGTTTACTATTTCATCGTCATATTAACCACATACACATTCAACATGTATAGTGCTCCTTCCACCGCTCGGCCATTCTTGTGGCTTGTCAATTTTATATTTATATATAAAAAGTATTATTCTATTTTGTTTAAATATTTTAATAAATAAATATCAAAGTATGATATTCTAGTGATTTTTTCTTTAAATTACATTCCTTTGATAATATCTCGTGCTATTATTTTACATTCCTTTGTTGCTATACAAACTAAATATTTTTAGAAAAAATTTCATCCTAAAAAACTTATAAAATTTAAAAAAGATATTGCAGAATTTTTTCAAAAAGATTATTAATTAACAAGTTATTGTTATATGCTTCGTTAAATAGTTTAATGATTCATATAAGTTTTACTAATAAATTATAAAAAAACCACTTATACAGAATTCCATAAATAAACAAATTAAAAAACTCATAGAGATAAAATAAAGTTTTCATTGAAAACACATCAAATTTTTTTCCTTTTTCTGTTATAGATGTTCTAAGGCCCTTACAACGGTTATAAAACTTATAATAATGACCAAACAAAGTCATGTTTAATAACAATTTGTTAGATGATATTTATATAAACCAATTACTTTAACATATTATCATAGAATAAAGTTGTGAATGAAAAGGAATTATGAAATCACTATGGAAATAAAAGGGAAACTTACATGCTAAATTGTTAATGTATCATGGGGAAGGGGTACAGGGAATCTATGTATCAGTTGGCAGTTTGGTAATTATGCCACCCTGTCAGAAAAGGAACTACTACATCACCTTTTATTTTCCATGCCTACAATTTTTTTTTTTCAAGTATGTCAATATATAATACTATATTTTGCTAAGGAAAAAAAAAGTAACAAATCATGTTAAGTAATTAAATGGATTGAAAAAACATCAATAAGCTAGAAAAAAACTCTGAAAATACATTTTCTGGGCTGCGAAATGAGTCCGGCTGTGGATTTTGGTTTATACAGGTAGCATTTTCAGAAACAACATTATCTACATGCAAAAAGCTTGTTTTATTATAAGTT